CAAGTCTATGCGAAATTCAATGAAAACTTCGGTTTTACTCAACTGATTGTGTGAAAATCCAACTATCAGTCCTTCATCACCTTAACGAAATAAGTTGAATACATCTCATATATCTATCAATCAATCTGTCTGTCTGTATGTTTGTTTGGCTGTGTGTCGCATTATCTATTTGCTTGTTTCTGTTATTTTTGCGGGTAACATTAATATTAATCTGTCTATTGTTCGGTGGGGCGAGGTTGGTGAGCCATCTTTTACTAGAACCATGTAGCCGGGCTGTGGTTGTTGACCTTCGCCGGCTCCTCCTTATCTCGTCGGACAAGAGGATCAATGTTTGAGGGCTGAATATTGTATTTCCTCTCGCCCTTGTTTCAGCGATCAGCTTAGCAACTGGGTCGAAGTGATGGCAATTTAATACATGCAAGGGATAGGCAGGTTGGCACAACCGAATGGCATTGTTGGCACCTTCCGATGCGTACCACATCCAGTGAACAGACGATCGTGACCGGGCCCTAGCCACAGGCGGTCCTGCTTTTGCTCACCTTCCATTGTTCACCGCTTATTGACAGGGGAAATTTGATATGTTGCGTTGCAGCTTCAGTGAAAGCCGGCCTCTTGCATTGTCGAGCGACCCCGGGAAGGGCTCCACGTGCCGTTGAAGCTACTGTCTGCTTGCGCGTGTATGTGCAGTCTGTCTGTTTCACTCATCCCAACCATATGAGCAGTCTCCCCCGCACTTCAAGCACTCTGTACCAGCCTGGGCCAGTTAATTCGGCCAGCCCAGTCCGTTTGCCCTTGCCATACGGGGCTGTACTGCCTGGAGAAGAGGGGTGGCGAGGCCAGCGGTAGGGGATGTTGAGACCAACCAATAGGAGGCGGGCAAACTAGGCCGCTGCATTCTGATTGGTCGACAGCCTTATCCCTTGACCGGTTTGTCCAAAGGCCGAATTGTGTCGACCGCGCGGTCTGACCGACCGTCTGTGTCCGAGGGATGCGCAGTGTCTTTGCGACGCCAACTGGAAATGCTGCCTGCGTCCGGCCTCGTGATTGGCTGCCTCTGTCCAGTCTGTGAAAGGATAATCTTTCCGTTTTTCCCAGTTTCCCGACCACTTTGTTCCTGTCTGGCCACTCCCCTTTGCCTCTGTTGCATAACAGACCACGGCTTTATATGCTTTCTGTACACATATTTAAAGGATCACCGTCAACACAGACGCAACCGACGCTCTGGCAGGTATGAAATCGCACTGTTTCACCAGCGCCTTCAGCATACGCTCGATGCTGGCCAATTGCGAGTCCGACGTGGCCAATTGCCCGGCGCCTGGAGACGGCCTCGACCCGTTGACGCCGTTGCTGGCCGTCCGCAGGTGCCGCCGAGGACAGGTCAC